AACGGCCATGAACTGCATTGACCTTCCCTGGCAATGAGGTCTTCCCTAAAGAAGTAGATTGGTGTCCACAGCTCCTGCTTCTCTTAAAGTCCAAAGTTCTTTTTTCCTCCTTAACCCTTTGTGTTTCCAACACCTAATGGGAATGGTATAAGGACAGGACAAGGAGACAAAGAGACTGCGAAATGGAACGTACTCGCTGAATGTGCTAGAGAGAATGTTTTGCTGTCCCATGCCTCATATTTCTTGCAGTAGGCCCTTATTTGCAGTATTCACAAAGGGATTGGGAATCAGGAAACAGATGCCTTGGTTGGCTTCAGCAGTAAAATTACATCAATGATTTCCAATAGGCAACCAAAGTGCCAAAGAGAGATCAAAGAGCAACAGAACATCTTCCCTTTGATTCTTCCGTCTTTTTTACTGTACACACTTTGACTTCTATCAGAAGACGCCAAATGCATTCTAACCTCATAGACATGGAACTCACGTCATCCAGGCTGACACTTCAATGCAATACTAGGGGCTGTACTGCATTGTCAGAGATGCCGTTCTTTAGATGAGACATTAAACCAAAGTGTTGTTTCCTATCCAGGTAGACGTTAAAGATGCCGTGGCACTAATCGAAAAAAGAAGGGAGTTTCTCCCAGGGTCCTGGCCAACAATCCTCCAAATAAAATTGATCATTCTCCTCATGCCTGTTTGTGGAAAGAATTGTGGGACAAATTGGCTGCCGCATTCACCCCCAAAATACGCAAATACTTATGCACCATGTATGCTCTCAATGTGAAAGGCACTATATCAAATGTAAAGATTATTATTATTAATAATGGTATTATTATTTTGATAACTTCTGAGACTGACCAAGAAAGCTCATGTATCACTTCCCACCTCATTTGTGACTATCCCAAATTAGATATCACTCTCCATTACCTTGTAGACCTTCCTTAGTGATAAGCTGGACTTCTCCAATGAGACTGTGATGTGTGCATAGTATCTCAAGTACATTGGAGACTTGCAGTGATAGAAAAAGGTCACTCCATCAAGAGAACTCAGTTCTTTAGAGCAGTACGAGTGGAAATCATTATAATTCCACAGCCACCTACCACATTAACAGACTGAGAGTAAGCTTCTGTCTGATTGAGACAGTGATGGCCTACTATGGCATATGAAAAGAGGAGGGATAATTTGTTGAGTCAGGCTATAAAGCAAGGAGTTACAGCATGAAAGTACCATGCTTTACAAATGTAATTTTGTATTGTATTTTAGTTCCATTTTTCTAGTTATAACTCGGCCTTCTTGGTGATTTTTGTAGGCAAACAGAGAAGTCTATTTGCACCCCACAATGTTTCGCAAACAGCCTGGAGTTAACGACCAATTTATATGGGGGATTGTTGGCCAAGACACTGGGGGAAAACTTCTTTTTTATCACATGATGTTAGATACCTGGGAAATTAATTAAAACTGCTTGTCACCGATAAAGTTAAAGAAGAGGGTATATAGTAGACCATTGTCATGTCTCCACCTTAAGCTGTAGTTTCCTCTTCCTTATGATTTTATGATTCTAATGGGCTGAAATTCCATAGCTGCATTGATGATGTCAGCCACAAATGGGATTTCTCCATTAAAATCACATATCACCCCAGAGACGCTACGCAGAGCAGGGTAAATAGTGAGTTGTCCCAGGCCTCTCCTCGCAAGTTAGCTGCTGAAAGAGTGACCAGGAGGTGAGTTGTTTCCCAGTTTTCCCACCATCTGGGGAGAAGTGGCCCTTTGCCTCCTAAATTTACGTTTCAAGGCATTTATGCATATTGTAGAAAGCAGTTTGCTTTGCTACAGGACCACCAGTTCTGTCCCTTCTCATACTAATACACAGTCACTACACTCACCAGTAATTACTGTAAGGTGCTTTGAGATGTTTTGACATTATAGGGACCATCTTAAATGCAAGGATTACTTTTTCTTTAGTTTGAAAGTTCCCCACATTCCATGAGAAGCACATGTTCAGACACAAACACGCACTGACACATACACAACACATACACAATGCACACAAACATACAGAACACCACACTCACACATACACAACACACACACATATACAACACACACTGACACGTACACAACATGCACACATACACACACTGACATGTACACAACATAAATACATACACAACACACACATATACACAACGTATATACCACAGCGTACATACACAACACACACATACACAACACACACATATGTACAACGCACACTAACACATACATACATACATAACACACACATATACACAACACATACATACACAAGACACAAACAAAAGACACATACACATGCACAACAAATACACAACAAACAAATACACAACACATACACAACATATATTCACAAATACACTCAAAAACACACACAAACGAAGCTGTGCCTTACGCATCGCCCATAATTCACACTCGCAGAGGTTGCTCGGCCAGGAAGGATTGCTTCATTTAATCCGTGAGTTTGTGATAGAACAAACTTTACCATGTTTGTTCATCAATTGTATGTTTTTATTCAGACAACTTTGAGCTGTGAAATAAACAAATCCCTCCAATGTAACACAAAGGGGTATAGGGTGCTTGACATTGTCCATGACATCAATAAGGGAATAATTACTGCATACATATGTTTATCTCCGCACTGGCAGCAGCAGATTGTGTAGGAGATGGCAGGAGAGTGACGCAGGGAATATGATTCACATTGTTTGATGGAGCGGCTTAGACGTATCTCTTTATTATTGGTATGAAAAGTGAAGATGCAAGTTCCTTCACCACAGCAGTCTTACAAATTACAAAGACTTGATCTGGGTCTTCTGAACCAGCCAAAGAGATTGAAAAAAAAATCTAAATATAGATCCTTGCGAGAGCATCTCTTTCATGGCTTGGAGTAGTTACTGAGTTTGAATTAATGCATGCAGAATGGCTCTACTGAGATGCCACATTTCATGTGGAACTTTTAGTTGAAGTGAAATTGGAAAATTATTTTTTGATGTAGATCTGAGAGTTTTCCTTTTATTTTGAAACTGGTTTTATTTAATCTCCTCCTACCCTGTAACCATGCAGTATTCTCAGGCCAAGGAGGGAACTGTGGACCTGCTCCCAGGCATCTGCTCTAGCAGCTCCAGAGCTAGTGACTGGAGATGAGAAATCACTCTCCTACTCTCTCACCTGGCCTGTGGGAAATCCTCTGGTTTTACTCGGGGTCTCCTCCTGTTGGTATGAGTTCATTGAATCACTGCATTACCTTACCTAGATATGAGGAGGCAGGGAATAGACGGGCATGGGAGAGGGGATCAGGAGAGGTGGAGGCTCATGTGAAACATGAACAATGACACATATTAGTTGGACTCAAGGACTGTTTCAGTGTTGTAAACTTCCATGGAATCCAATGAAATAGTTTGAGATGTTTTGATGCTTTGTTTTGATGGAGTCCTGTGGCATAGTGTTTTAGGGCATGTGCCTCGCAAGCGTGAGGACCTGGGTTTGATTCCTGGCAGGGCAAAACGTTGGGCATGTTTCCTTACTCCACATGCCTCTGTTTACTGAGCACTAAGTAGGAACCTGGTTGTTTATCGATTGGCGGATCACTTTTCTGGGAGGAATAATTCTTTCACAAAAAAAAGTGGTCACTCAATCCACGACTGTGTGTAGGACACTGCTGTGTGCAGTTGGTTGCTGAGGTTCACCCATATATTCTGCGAAAGGCTTTGAGACATCTTGAAGACATGATAAGGTGCTATATCAAATGCAAGAATTATTATTATTATTATTATATGCTTTATATTAGTGGTAGTATGTGTGGCTAGAAATTAGCATTTGCCACTCAGTGGTATTATGCTTTGGATCACCAATTCTGCAACATCATACCAAATCTATATTTAAAATCATTTGGTCATTAACTTCAAGCCTGTGTGTAGAACGTGGCTTTCCACAGATTGGCTGCCATGTTCATCTACAAATACACAGTTAGTTACACAGGTCCAAAACACTGACTGTCCAGTGCCTTGGGACGTCCTCCTGATGTGAAAGGCGCGAAACAAATCTAATTTTGTTGCTGCTGCTGTTGTTACTTTGCTCTACGATAATTATCTTTGAAGCGCTTTGAGCCATTTCAAAGTGGTTGGTATTATGTCAATTGAGGGATTATTAGTTTGGTGGAGTTTGTCTTGAACAACAACAACAACAAAATTACATTTATGGAGCACCTTTCACGTTGGGAGGACATCCCAAAGCGCTGAACAGTCAGGTTTCAGGGCCCGAGCATGGGGGAAGGGTGGTGTAGGGGTGAGGGAAGGCAGAGAGGTGGGAGGGCGACCAAAGGCATGGTCGAAGAGAAGGATCTTGAAATCGGCATTGAAGGAGGCAAGGGAAGAAGTGAGGCGAAGGGACCATGGGATGGAGTTCCAGAGTGTGGGGGCAGAGGTTGAAAGCCCGGCCACCAATGGTAGGGCGGGTCGAGCGGGAGACATGGAGCAGACCGCAGCCCGCTGAACGGAGGAGCGGGCAGGTTGGTAGGGAGTCCGCAGGTCAGAGAGGTAGGAGGGGGCAAGGCCATGGATAGCCTTGAAAATGAGGACGAGGATCTTGAATTCGATCCTCTGGGGAATGGGGAGCCAGTCGAGTCGGGCGAGGGTGGGAGTGATGGCGTTATGAAGCCTGGTGCATGAGAGTACACGAGCTGCAGAGTTTTGGATGATCTGTAGCTTGTGAAGTGAAGAGTTGGGAAGGCCGATGAGGAGGGAGTTCCCGTAGTCGAGCCTTGATGTGACGAATGCGTGGGTGAGTGTTTCAGCAGCCTGAGGGGTGAGGCAGTGGCGGAGTCTGACAATGTTGCGTTGAATCAAAAATTTAAGCATTCCTCATTTGCAGAAGACATTGGAAAGTGAAGGATTTCACCTGTTATCACAACATTGCAGAAACGTGAGTTGTTGTGTGATTTTTTGTTCTCTCTTGTTCCCCTTTCACAGTGGGATGGCGTTGGTCCTCTCCCAGAGACAGCAGATCCACCAAAGGGTATACAGCTGCTGTGGCATCCCTCAATAGTCAAACCCTACCTCACACTTCTGTCAGAATGCTCAAATCCAGACACCTTGGAGGGGGCAGCAGGAGCCCTACAGAATCTGGCTGCAGGGAGCTGGAAGGTAGGTACCACAGCCCTGTGCTTCACTGAGAAACAGTACGACAGTAGGTTTTACTGCCATTTTATCCCACCACTGGGAAGTGGTTCTGTGTCATGCAATAACCTCTGGGTATTCCTCTTGTGTGAGTCTCGCGCTCACTGCGTTAACATAACCTTCTATCATGCATGAAGTGCGTTATATGAATACAACTTGCTGTTCTGCTGTTATTACTTTGTTCAGGTATTACTTTTACACATGGCTTATACATGGCATATAATAGACCTTGTCTGTCTCCAAAAGACACGCACTTGACACATATTTTCATGTGGGACACACATCTGTGGGTCCTAACCCTCTTTTTCTTGAAGTAAACGTCAGTCCTGTTACTCTGCTTGTAAAGAATGTGAATGGATCCAGTGGAGCGAGCAAGCTGTGCTTCATTTCGTCATACCACAGTTGTCTCAGAATAAAAATCTTGAGGTTTCTTTTGTTGTTTTGTTTTATTTCACCCTTGTGCCCTTGGCGAACATTTCCCCAGCTTTGTGGGGTCATTGAGTAGAGGGTTTGGTCAGAACAAGTTATTGGCAGAAATATTTTTTAAAAAAAAGACTCCAAACACACAGCAGGTCAAACAGACCCTGAGAATATTACTGTTGAAAAGTCCCACCCAAATCATTTACTTATTGTTTTACCTAAGATGCTGTTTACAGTGGTTTTCAACCATTTTCTGTTATCGTGTCAGATTTAATTTCCAACTCTCAAAATAGTTTACAATCCTGTTTTTCATTATAACAGGTAATGACTGTGTTTCATGTGACAACTTTTTCTGGAAAATTACTGGAATGCATCAAAACACAGATAAGGATATATGCTTGTATGTTTCTGTCTATCTGTTAGTAAAGATGAAATAATGTTATCCGGCTCTATTTGGGCATCAGTTCCTGACACATAATTTTGCACCAAATGTTGCACTAAATTGGCAAACTCACTCAGACAGCCATGAGAATAACTGAAGTAGGAACTGGAAAGATTCTTATTTGTGCAGCAGGGAGTGTTCTTCTAAGAATAGGGTAAAGGCACCTGGCTGGCCCTGAGAAGAGGGGACATTCCACTCCATCAGCCTGGTTGACCAGGTATTGCTAAATGCAGATATAGCTCCAAAAATCAGAATAGAATCTGCTAATAGAATAATAATAGTAATAATAATCCTTACATTTGATGTAGCACTTTATTGAGTCTTCAAGACGTCTCAAAGCGCTTCACAGAATATATCGTTAAGTAAATTGACGGTATATTTTGTGGACATTTATATTCAATACAGTGGCTTTCACATTGGGAGAACGTCTCAAAGCACTTCACAGGATACACTTCACAGGATATACTGTAAAGTTAGTGACTACGCATTTTGTAGGCAAACACAGCAGCCAGATTGCGCGCAGCAGCCAGATTGCGCACAGCAATATCCCAGGAACAGCATTTCTTCTTATTATTATTTATTCTTATTCTTATTCTTATTATTATTTCTTCTTATTATTATTTCTTATGCTCTTATGTAGAGAGGCACTGAAAGTAATTTTGCAGACATCTTCCAGACGTCAACGCGCTTCACAGGATATACTGTAAAGTGAATTGACTGTATATTTCTGGGCGAAATGCGGCAGTCAATCGCGCAGCGCAGTGTCCCACAAACAGTCGTGGATTGAGTGACTAAATTTTTTTTTGAGGAATTATTATCTCCGGAAAAGCGATCCGTCAATCAACTAACAACCGGGTTCTTACTTACTGCTAGGTAAACAGAGTCGTGTGGAATGAGGAAACTTGCCCAACATTTCGCCCTGCCGGGAATAGAACCCAGGTCTCTTGACTGCAGGCTAGTGCTCTAACCACTGAGCTACAGGACTTCATGACTATATTCAGGATTATATTCATGAGGATGTCAAACCTATAATTCCTGCTTTATCTGAAATGGCATTAAAGAGGGATCCGCTGAAAGCTTCTTGTATTTTATTTGTGGTTACTGATTTATCTGGCTTTGTATTAAACATCTGGAAAGGCGGTGACAGGAATACACGAACATCAGCGAATAGACACAGTGCTGCTACTTCTTCAGCAAAGGAGCAATAGTGATCAGTAGTGAGCAACATTGCTGGAGAGGAGATATGAGGATGGACTCCCAAGTTTCATAATGCTTACTGCTCCTATTATAAATAGTCAATATTTTTATAAATTTCATTTGTTTCTCTTCCCAGCGCTCCCCTGTCAACACACACGCAAACGCCACAGTACTGACCGAGTGAGATCTTGTCTGCCTACTGAGTGACAAGTAATTCTTGTTGCATACACAGTATGTCAGTTCATGAGCTTTATTTCACTTGCTTTAAAATAAATTCACGCTTTTTTTCCCAATTTCCATGCAGCAATGAAGTGAATGATCAATTTTATCTGGGAAATTGTTAGCCAGGACACTATAAACCTGAAGTTGGGACTTGGAGCTCACGTAGTCTAGGCTGATACACCAATACATTGCTGCATTATCAAAGGTGCCATCCTTTGGGTGAGATATTCAGATGGATGTTAAAAATCCCATGGCACTATTTGAAGAGAAGGAAGTTTCTTCCTATGTTCTGGCCCTGGCCCCTCTCATGTGAATTACAATAACACAAGTATTTCTCCCTTGGTCTGTGAATAACATATCACAAGTGTTCCTGCTTTGATCTGATAAAGGTTACCAAGCAGAATGCACCCTGAAGAAAACAAATCAAAATTGTGTGCTTTTTATATTCGACCGAGACCTCTGAATTAACATTGCTGGATACCAGGGTGTGTTTAGCTTGTGACTGAAGGACTCCAGGGGCAGCTGGCACAAGAGAGAACTTAAACTAAGACCAAACACTTATCTTAAGTTTTCAGAAGGTCTTACCTCAGGGTAAGACCAAGCTCAGAGGAGAATCTTATTGTCATTACTCTTGACTGACAACAGAACCGGCTATCCTCAACTACAAAATGACAACTTCACTTCACAGTGCTGGCAGGGATTCCGAGCTGGGGGTGGGGAGAGCAGAGGAAGGAGGGGGAAGGTAAACAAAAGCCTAGTGAAAAAGAAACGTTTTTCTATTTTAGTTTTTCTACTATGCACTTGAAAAACAAAGCTGTCATCCCGATTGTTTCTGGCCAGCCCTGGGAGGTACACACACTTCGTTGGATAGCCCTCTGAGTTGTGTGTCAAGACCTATCCTTCCACTTAAGATTCCCAATATAACCTTGGAGCAAATGAAGATTCACATCAAGACGCTTTTCTTGTTTTTCTGTGTCTGTTGGTGAGCTCAGGTTTGGACAGATCCGCACCTCCTGCTGTTTCAAAAAAAGAGGAAATGAGGCCAGAATCTAATGGCACAGAAAATGGTCTCCCCTTTGCAAGTTTTAGCTTGTAAATGTAATGGTACTGTCAGTGTTATTATCTAAACTTAATAACAGTCAGAATATGGCCTGCCAGTGTGCAGTGTGCAGGTACCCAGCGCTTTGAGACATCCACCCCCAAATGAAAGGTGTTATATAAATGTAAATGGAACTGTACTTGCCAATGCGCTGCTGTTTGTTTCCGCAGTGGTCTGTTTACATTCGTGCAGCAGTACGGAAGGAGAAGGGTTTGCCAATTCTGGTGGAGCTGCTGCGAATAGACAACGATCGTGTGGTGTGTGCTGTTGCCACAGCTTTACGAAATATGGCCTTAGATGTCAGAAACAAGGAGCTGATCGGTAAGTAAGAAAAGTCGGGATCTCCCAGTCTATTAGAGAACAAATATTATACTACATATATACTACATATATGTAGGGGCGATGGTAAAAGTGGAAGGAAATATCTGAATACAAAATATAGCTGAGTGCCGTGATACCAAGGTTGCAGTGTAAGATTGAACCTCGGGGGAACTTTAAATCCTTTTTGCTGTGTCTAAATTGTGTTAATCTTATGGAACACTCTTTTATTCCTTATTCCTTATCAAATAAATCTTCCATAGCTTCTAGGAGTCAATGTATGAAATAAAAAGAAATCTAGATCTCAGGGCAAGCTTGAAATTAATCAGTATTGATTTGTGATTTAAAAAAAAATTCAATCTGGGGGTTCTCACTATCTGGAAGTCAGTGAATTGCTATTTGACGACAATAGCAACAAATTGCAGTTATATATCGCGTTTCACATCAGGAGCAAGTCCTGTGGATTGGAGTCAAGAGGGGTAGAGGGCAAGAGGGGTGTGGAGTTGGGAGGACGACCAAAGGCATGGTGATACCAAGGCTTCAAGGAGATTGGGCTTGAAGGAGGTGAGGCAGGGGGACTCTGGGATGGAGCTCCAGATGGTGGGGGCAGAAAGGCTGAAGCCCCGATCCCCGATTGTGGAGCGGGCAGGGTGGGGACATGGATCAGGCTAGTGGCCACCAAGGGGAGAAAACAGACGGATTCGTAAAATTTTAGTAGGTTGCAGGGGTACAGAGGAGCAAGGTCATGGAGGACTTTGAAAGTGAGGACGAGGATCTTGAACTTGATCCTTTGGGGGATGGGAAGCCAGTGAAACCAAGTGAGGGAGGGGGTGATTGGCTCATGGAGCATGGTGTAGGAGAGGACATAGATGGCAGAGTTCTGAATAATCTGCAGTTTGTGGAAGAAAGAGTTGGGAAGTCCGGCGAGCAGGGAGTTAGCATAGTCAAACCTGGACGTAGCGGTCCTGAGGGGAGAGGCAATGGCAGAGCCGGACAATGTTGCGGAGGTGGGGGAAAGCAAAAGGGGTCATGGCATGTGGGGTTTAAAAAATAGCTGAGGGTCGAACAAGACACCAAGTTCCATGCTGACTCAATGAGGTGGAGTGTGCATCCATGAATAGTAATGCTGTCAGCGCCTGAGGTGAGGAAGCGCTGACAGGAGCTCATCATGAGAGCCTCAGTCTTTACAACATTCAACTGGAGAAAATTGGCTCTCGTCCAGGACTTGAAGTCTGACAGACAAGCAGTGATCCTGAAGTCGAAGATGGAGGCCGAGAAGTATCATTAGGTGTCATCTGCATACAGGGTGGAAGTTAACCTCATGCCTGCAGATTGTGTCACCACATGTTTTTCTTCTAAATAATATTAATTAAGATTCCTAAAAGGCCTACAGAATGAGCAGATAGGTGGCGAATAAAGTTTAAGTCTAAGTTCAATCGGGAAATATGAAGCGATTCACTTTGGTAGGAAGAATGAAGAAGCCAACTGTGTCCTGAATGGTAGGAATCTGAGAGAGGGAAGATAAACAAGGGATCTGGGGATTCAGATTCACAGGAACTCTAAAAGCCATAAATAATTCAAGTATAGTCCTTGGTTTTATGTTCAGAGGAATAGAGCATAAAAATAGGGAATTAATGCTAAATTTACATAAAACCGTGGTTAGACCACTTTTGGAGTACCGTGAGCAATTTAGGTTACCGCATTGTATAAGAGATATGATAGCAATTGAGAGAGTGCAATGTAATTTACAAGGATTTTACCAGGAGTGAATGGATTCAACTATCAAGAATGATTGGACAGGTTGCAGATTTTCTCAAGAGTTGAGACGATTGAAAGGGGACCTGTTAGAAGGTGCTTAAAATCATGAAAGGATTTGATAGAGTGAATGTTGATAGGCTGTTTCCACTTGCTGGTGAGTCCAAAACTAGAACACATGAAAATAAGAGAGACAATACTAGATTTAATGGGGAGTTTAAGAGGAGCTTTTTCATGCAGATGATGATGAAAATATGGAACTCACTGCTGAAAGCTGCAGTTGAAGGAAATAGCATCTGTGTATTAAAGAGAAAATTTAATGTATTCATGAAGGAGAGGGGAATACAAGAGGAGATTAGGAGGGGTTGGGATACGTGTGAGTATAAACACTAGCCAGACTGGTTGGGCGTGTTTCATGGGGTAACACTCTCTGTAACAGATCACATACAAAAACAGTATTAAGCGAACAGTCAACATGAGTGCCAAGAATTCAGCATGAGTACTGCACAAGTAACCACATGCAAATGTATGAAACCAATTTCATCGGGTAAGTCGGTGCTGAGTGTTGAGCTTTGGGGCCTGTTTAAGGTTATCAAAATGTAATTAAGACATGTGTGTCAAAGATTGTAGTGACTATGTGTTGAGTATTGAGAGTGCAATGAAACATGCTGATAAAAAGCCTGTGTCAGACTGGCCTCGGTGCTGTTCATAGAATCAGGTCTCCGAATGCAACCTCAAATGTGATTCATCAATGCACTACTGGGACTAATGTCAATATGTACAGGAGTCACATTAATGGGATCTCCCGTTATAAGTTAGCAACAAAAAGATTGGCTTTTTAACGGTTGGCGTGTGATTGACCGTTGTGTGTATGAGAGCGAAACTGGAAAAGAGATGGAAAGCCAAGATATAAGGGAAAAAAGTGCGACTGGGAACAATTAGAGTTATCTCTTCCTTTCCGGGTGATAAAATAGTTTTACATCAGCAAGTCTTTGCACTTACCTTCACATTGGAAATGCAGCAACCTGTCCAGAAAACAGAGCTTTGAGATGGATGGAGTGGCGGTCTTACATATTATCCAAGAGCACTCATATAACAGAGTGTAGTTTCCCCAAAAGCAGATCAGTGCTCTGTCAGCTGACATCACAGAAGGAAGGCTGTTAGCTGCTTGAGAGCTCCACCAATGTGACAGAAATCTTAATAGCCATTTTAATTAAATTTAACTCAAGGGTACGATAAAACCAATGCTGCCTAGAGGTTCAGTGCTTTTGTGTGCTGAAATATTGCCCCTTGTCAGGCACCAGTGAGCTTGCACTTCAGGCACTGCAACAAACCATTGCTTATTTTCGCAACTTTTGGGTCCCCAGTGACAATAGAGTATGCAGATGGTGAAAATTGTGAGGTTTATGAAATCTCATAAATAAATGCTGTTGAGGAATTGGTAATCATTGGTGTAAGCTCTCCCCCCCCCCCCCAACTTTGTCACAAAATGGACTGTCAACTCCCAGTGGCAGCTTCAGTTGGGCTTTGGGCCCAACCATTGTGATAAAGTTGGGGGCGGTGACACACTGAGCCCATCGAAGGTTACTGAATTACTCAACCACATATATCAATTATATAATAATACAGTAATAATAATAACCCTTACATTTGATGTTCGCCTTTCACGTCAGGATTACCGATTTTATTTGGGAGAATTATTGACCAGGACACCAGGAGAAACTCCCTTCTCTTTTTGAATACAACTACAACAATAAAATTACATTTGTATAGCGCCTTTCATGTCAGGAGGATGTCCCAGGGTGCTGAATAGTGCTATGGGGTCTTTAACATCCATCTAAACAGGCTGACAGGACCTTGATTTAATGTCTTATATAAAGAACAGAACCTCCAGCAATGCAGTATTATCCCCATTGAGAATGATCACATCAAATCTCACAATTTTCAACTTAGAACTTCTTAGATTTGATCTATTAAAAAAAGGTCAGGTCTGACCTCGATTTTGTGAATGTCAAATGCCCTATGTAGTTGATGACTTTTAAAGAGAGAATGATCACTTTCATCTGCACACGATATCACTTCTCTTGGCCTGAAACAGACAATTGCAAACCAGGATTCGTTTCAGTTTCATCTTCATACTCCTTATATTTGATACAGCACCTTATACTGTACTGTGTACCACAAAGCCATGGCATGAATGACCAATTTTAATTGGGGGGTTTGTTTGTCAAGACACTAAGATAAATTCCCTTCTCTTTTCAAATAGTGTCATGGGATCTTTAATATCCACCTGAACACGCACACAGAATCCCAGTTTAATATCTCATCTGAAAGATGGAGCCTCGGACAATGTAGCCCCAGCACTGCATTGGAGTGTCATCTTACATTATGTGGATTCCACGGCCCAATGTGGGGCTTAAACCCACAACCGTCTGACTCAGTGGTGAGAGCACTACCAACTGAGCCATTGAACAATACAAATGTACTGCACAGAAGAAGGCCATTTGGCCACTTGAGTGTGCCAACTCCCTCAAGAGCAATCCTTTCAGTCCCACTAAACTTCACTTTCCCCATATCCCTATAGCTGACTCTTTTTAAGGTATTTGGTTCATTCTGAAATTAAATTATTGCCCTCTAGTAACTAACCCATCGACCACTGAAAATAATTTCTCCCTGTTGACTATCAAAACCTCTAATAATTTTAAAGAACTCTATCAGGTCACCTCTCAACCTCCTTTGTTCCAGCAGAAAAAGTCCCAGTTCCTTCAGCCTCCACTCATCCCCGGTTTTATCCTCCGCGCCCCCCCCCCAACCCAACACGAAACCCTCTATCGCCTTGACATCTTTCCTAAAGTGAGTTAACCATATAATAATAATAATCCTTGCATTTGATATAGTGCCTTATCACGTCTTCTAGACGTCTCAAAGCGCTTCACAGAATTTACTGTAAAGTGAATTGACTGTATATTTGTGGGCGAAACGTGGCAGCCAAATTGTGCACTCCAGTGTTCCAAAAACAGTCGTGGATTGAGTGACCAAATTATTATTGTTTTTTTTCTTGAGGGTTTATTATTAGGCGTATGGAGTAAGGAAACTTGCACAAGGTTTCACATTGCTAGGAATTGAACCCAGGTCTCTCGCTTGCAAAGCGAGTGCTCTAACCACTGAGCTACAGGACCAATACTGGACACGATATTCTAACTGCGGTCGAACTAACGAGTTATATACGTTTAGTATTACCTCTTTGCTTTCATATTCTAGATGCCTATTTATAGCATCTAAGAATCCTTTGTTCTTCTTGTTCTTCTTCCCATAGCCAACTAGTTACAAACTTGGTCAAGGCTCAGTGTAAACCAGCAACAATGTAAATTAATCCTGCTATTAAATATTTGATATTTAAAATCACGGAAAATCTCCTTCATTTTCTAGTTTACATGGGGCAAGTGTAATTAATTAATGATTTCTTGTACATTCTTCTTGCCATTTTGTATAATTATAAAGCTCTGTTCAAAAGATTCCAATTACTAAGTGGTCACTTGTCCTTTGTTAGAGACAATTTTCACAGCCACCATTGCAGTGGCTGAGCTGCTCACTGAGTGCTGATACCTTTGTGGAGTGATTCGCATTTCGCCCACAAATATACAGTCAATTCACTTTACAGCACATTCTGTGAAGCACTTTGAGACGTCAAGAAGACGTGAAAAGCGCTATATCAAATGCAATGATTATTATTATTATTATTAGCATGTGGAAATCCAAAGGTAGAAATTCTACCAGATCATGATTTACTCTACTTATGTATCTTTTCAGAGCATCCAAAATTTGGCAAATTCTTAAAACTCAGCCTTAATTTTGAACCCGGTTTTCTGAAACTTCCTTTAAAAACTACAGAAAACTGACTCGGTTTTTTGTTTGACTGTCTTTTGTACCTCCACATTGGTGCTCTTACCCGCTCAGCCTTCCCTTACCTTCAAACCATCATCAGCCTCTGCTTCAGGCCACCAAGACCCTCATGCATGGCTTTCATTACTACTTCAATGTTCTGCTCGCCCATTCTTCCCCACACAGGCTGTAGGCTATCCAGAATTGTGTACCCCATATCCTCTCATGCACCAGGCTCTGGGAACCTATCACACCCATCCTCGCTCAGCTCTACTGGCTCCCCATCCCTCAGCGGTCGAGATCAAGATCCTAGAGAGCAACCTGTACAACAACAATAACTGACTTATTCAGTATTAGTAAGTATCCAAACTAATGCTTGTGAATTGGGCTTGATGGATTAATGTGCTTTAAATAGAGTAAAACAGTACGGAAACAGGCCATTCAACCCATGTAGTCCACACTCGTCTCCTAGTGCTGTGTGCAGGTTGTTTATCCTTTACAAGAAGTACCATTTCCATGTGTTTGAACCAGTCTTAGCCAAGCTGTTGCCTCAGATATTTATTGAGTTTATAGTTTTTTATTGCAACATTTTTTAAAAAGAGTTGCTGTTTTCTTTTCAACGTGACTATACATGCTGCGAGACTGATTCCTTTTCCGGAAATATCAAAGTAATTCATCACATCTGACTTACTGCACTGATTTTCTGGATGGTTTCCCAGACACTATTTCACTTGCAGCAAATAAAATAAAGATAGTTATTGATGAAAGATGTCATAGATGAGTACTTATTCGTGATTAAATGGTTCTCCTGGTTCCTCCAAACCTTCTCTTTATGATACAGCAACTTTATTTTTTTGTTTGTTTACTCACCATTATTAGATTTACTCTGTTCTCCTCTTTATGTGTCTGCTATGGTACTACCGACAACAACAACAAATTATTTTTATATTGTGCTTTTCAAGACATGTTGCAAACAACAAGTAGACCAATTCTCAGAGTTGTTTTTGACCCAGCCTCTGGGAGATGATAGAGAGCAGTTTAACTGGCTCTCTGTTGCTTTACTTTCTCCACCCTGCCCTTGGTTGGCATCTTCACAGCATTGCATGATGGAAATTGGATCAATATCTGTCAAAGCAGGGGATTAAGGGTTGCAGAGATAGTAACAGCTCTGTTTGACTATAATGGAGGTCAGGAAGGGAATAAAGGAACCTTGAGGTTAAGGGATGGACCAGGGAGGAGGAGAAGTCAATGACTGTGTAGTTATGCATGGGTTGTGGCAAGACAAGGCTTAATGGGCCAAACAGCTATTTGCTCATTCAAGGTTTTATGATGTTCTGACTGAGGGTGGGTACTTAGTAATGAGTGGAAATCTATAGTCTGTTCAGTGCATCAAAATAACTGACTTGAAATTGTTCAGGTTTCTTCAGCTGGAATGGATTGTGACCATTTGGGTAAATCTGCTGGTAGTTTGAGACCATCACTCATTCAATTCTGATTTCTGGGCACAAAGAGGTCTATCATTTTGTCTCTCGTGTCTGGACCTCAGAGGTTCCTTTGTGACAATATTTCGATTTGGGAATCGGCAGTCAAAACTGTGAATATTGACTTTGTTAAATCAGTGTTGTGAAAACAGGATTGGATAATGGGGGCTTGATGTCAATCACAAGAGCTTCTGACTCACAGAGATTTGCGGGAGGAGGATGGACAATATAGAACCATAAAAATGGAGGAATAGGTGGCCATTCAACCTACTTTTTCATGTCAGTGTATGCACTTCCATAAGTATGCTCCTCCAATTCCCAGCTCTTTCCACATTTTTGTAGGTGAGCATGACAGCCAATTTGTGCACACCAATGCCCCACCAGCTACAATGAAATGAATGATCAATTTTTCAGGGGGACTCGGGATTATTGACCAGGCCAGCAGAAGAGATTCCATTCTCATTACAAGTAGTGTCATGGGATCTTTAATCTGAACAGGCAGACAGGACGTTGCTTTACCATCTCATTCAAAGGAAGGCACCTCTGGCAATGCAGTGATTCCCCCCAGCACTTTACTGGAGTGTCAGCCTAAACTATAAACTGAAAGTTTCAACATGGAACCCACAACTTTCTGACTCAGAGGTGAGAGAGTGCTACCAACTGAACCAGGCTCACATCCAATTTAAATGAGGATAAAGAGTCCTGCAAATATTCCTCCCCAATCCAAATTCACCTTGGAAAACTTTTAATTAATTGAACTGCTCATTTTGCTATTGTCTGTTCTGTTCTTGTTTTGGCATTTGACTATGTAACAGAGTTCCATTTCAAATGAAATTCATCCTCTGGTGCACTTCAATCGCTGTTGTCTAAACTAACAGGGACGGAACTGGGGAAAATGAGATGGACAGAAAGTAACCTGATATTCAAGTACATTTCTTAGTCTCCAAAATTGTTCTTCCGTAGCAGTTGAACAGAGACAAACTTCCAAACGCCTTGGAAATGTGCAAAATGGAAAAACTGAAAACTGAAATTGCAGGGTATTCAAATGAAAATGTATCAGCTAACTACACTATAGAGCAAAACTCAAATACCAGCACTTCTGCTTTTTATTCCTCTGGTACTGCAATGCAGAATGCAATATTAAAGATCACTTCTAAAGAAAAATTCTAAGTGGTCTCCATAGTGATCCCAACAATACCGCAATGAATCAGACGTGAAACGTACAATACAAATTTATATTTATATAGCGCCTTCCGTGGGAGGACCAAACAAGGTACTTAACAATCCTCACTTGGCATCTCACGGTGGAGTAGGGAGGAGAAAGATGAATGAAAACGCAGTCAAAAAGATGTATGTCTTGAGACAGACCTTGAATGAGGGGAGGGAGTTCACTCCCTCAGATTAAATGATGCACTTGTCCTGCATAGAGGCCTTTTGACAGTAAATCCTAACACCAAAGTGCTAATGACAATGGAGCTATCTCATCCAGTCTTTCTGTAAAGTTTATCTCAAACCACTTTCACTAATGGTATAAAAATATAGGCTGATATTTTTATATCAGCCAGATATTGTAGCACCCATTCATGCAATTGTGGAAAGTCCTCTCTCAGGGGTAGGCACCAGCGATCATTTAGGAACAGAACACAAGGTCTGTGTTAACTGCCTTTTGAGGAAATAAAACTGTACGCAAACCAGTTAGTGTTCCTCTTCTTGCTTTGTGATGCTTTGTCGTACTTCACTGCCAAGCGGCTCAATGCAGTTTGGGGTTTTGTTGTTTGCCAGCTGTCTCCTACATGTGCTAAAACTAGTGTGCCTTGTCTTCAGGGACTTGGAAAGACGTATTGAATTTCAGTCAGTAAAATATGCCCGAAGTGTTTGAGTGTTAAATTGATTGTAAGGCTTGATTGTAAGGCTGACTGGATTGGGCGATCAATGTGGCTGGGATGAAAAGAAAGCCTCCTTCAACCTCATGATGAAGGATATAATGGGTGAACGATTCGGACTGAGGGTAAAAGCATATTCTTCCCGAGGGGATGACACTTGCTTCTGTTCCACATTAACCTTGCCCTCTTCTCTCTTTTTCCTTTTCCCTGAAGGCAAATACGCCATGCGTGATCTGGTCCACCGTCTCCCTGGAGGGAGCAGCAGTGGGAGTGGAGGAGGTGGTGGAGGTGGAGGTGTTGGCAACACTGGTACCAGCACGACCGTGAGCAAACCCATCTCTGATGAAACGATCACTGCCATTTGCTGCGCTTTGCATGAAGTCATCACTAAAAACATGGAAAATGCCAAGGCCTTACGAGATGCAGGCGGCATTGAGAAGCTGATCGGCATCGCGAAGAGTAAAGGAGACAAGTATGTAGCGGCTGGATCTGTTCGAGAGCAATGTTTTCCACTAGTTGCAGTGAAGTGGTGCACTTAACCCATTTTCTCTCAAACTGCCCCAGAATTACAGGAGAAACTCCACTTTGAAACCTCGGGACGTTTTGTTCTGTTCAAAATTCAGACAAAATTCACATATGTTCCAGGCAGTATTATGAATGGAAATGCTTCAGAAGCTAAATTGAATGGTAGATTTTCAGAAATTCCACAGTCTCTTGTTTAGGTGACAAGGTCTTTGAGGAACAATCTGTAATATAATAGAACCTTCTTTCAACGGTAGGAGGGGGTTCAAAATTGACTCTGCATTGCACCCATTGATTTATCATCCCTGGGGGAGAGGGTAACCTGCTCTTGGGCTTTTTAAGTCCTGTCTTAAAATCTGTATCGCAGGGTAGTCCCAAGAATCTACTAATGTGGGTGACAATAAATAATGAATGAAGAGTTATTGCATTTAGGGTACACGTTATGAAAGCTTGGAAGTTTCATCCCAGTTTTTCAAAACAAATGCTAGGAGTCTACAGTCAACATGTTTAAAAAAAATTATAATAATAATACTTTGGTTACTCAATCCCCGACTGTTTGTGGGATACTGCTGTGCTTAATTGGCTGCCGCGTTTGGCTGACAAAATATATAATGAATTAATTTAGCAGAATTTTCTGTGAAGCACTTTGAGACGTCTCAACAGTGTGATATGTACTATATCAAATACAAGGAATATTATTATTATTACTTGAGGACAGGCCTGTATTGGGTAATCAACAGCTCAAGCAGATTGTTCGGAAGGGTAGTAGAAGCCAGGACAAGATTAAGAATGAGCTTGATGTTGTATTAGGAAGAAGGTAGGGTGCAAATTCTGCAAGTATGAGATCATGACACCCCTAGAAGGGGAATTTCTTTGAAAAGGACCATGAGGTCAGAGGAATATGCGGATAGATAGGGACGTTTCATCTGAGAGAAAGTTTGATTTTCAACAAATTGAGGAATTGAAAGTTTGGAACTGGTTTAAACTTTTAACTAATCCTTACTTATTGGCACCAATATAATGGGCACAATGTCTCACTTCCCAACATGGTGATGTGCTTGTCCAAAAGTCTGGGGTTGTGGAGTCCAACCCCTATCTAGTTGCTGAGGTCGATGGCCTTTTTTATTGGGAGCTGCACTGGGTAGAGTATCCAATGTGTCCGGACCTTAATTCATTTGTCGCCCCCTGTGCTTGGTCACTTTACTGAGCATTTGCTGTGCAGTTTTCTGTTAAGGTTCTGCATGAGTGCTGTGGCTGCTTGTTTTGCCGTTTTTCACAGCTTTCTGCAGAAGCTGACACACTGCTGAAGGAAACTAAAACTCGCTTGTACATCACTGAACACTGGACACCTTCATCATGGTGATAAAAGAGCATCTATAAAAACTCAGCCGTGCACATCTGATCGAACTTTTACAGTCGAAAGGTTTTATTTTGATGCTTTCTCATTTCAGAGCTGAAAGTAGCAATCTGGTTTCAAAGTAATTGCTATTGATTCATAGTAAACAAAACAAAAAACAGCCGTAGAGTATTTTCACCCAAGTAAGTGCTGAAAGGGACTGGACACAATCACAGCAAAACTAGTATTGTATTCTGCCAGTTCTGACGAAGGATCATGGGCCTGAAATGTTGATCCACTTTCCTTTCTCCATAGATGCTGCCTGAGCTGCTGAATGTTCCCAGCGATCTCAGTTTTTGTTTCAGATTTCCAGCATCTGTAGTATTTTTTTTACTATTGTATTCTACTGAGTTACCCCATAATCCCAAATGTTACGAAGCAAAATATGTGTAATCTTAACAAGAGGGACTTTTTAACATTGATTCCATTGTAAAAGAAATATTGGATTTTAAAGATGTTGTGAAAAGATTTTCTTTAGTGTTACATGTAAGTTTAGACCCTCGATGTCCGATTGCTCCTTTGTCATCTTATTGTATTTGCCTCAACTCTTGTTTGGAGACTTTCAGATAGTGGACGTGTAGAAATCCCCCTTTTAACAAGATCACAAGATTAGTTTGGATGAAATGGCTCTTCAACCCTTCTGATCTCATCCATCTGGAATACACACCGTAATGTCCTCCCATCACAACATTAAGCTGTTTTTTAGTAATACAATAATAATAGTAATCCTTACATTTGATAAAGCGCCACATCATTGATACAACTCAAAGTGCTTCACAGGGTATGCTGTAAAGTGTATTGACCGTATATTTTTGGGGCAAAATACGGCAGCCAATTGCACACAGCGGTATCCCACAAACAATCATGGATTGAGTGACCAATTTTTTTTATTGAGTGATTATTATGCCCAGAAAGTGATCCGCCAATCGACTAACAACTGTGTTCCTACTTATTGCAAGGTAAACAGAGGTGTGTGTTGTAAGGAAATTTGCCTAAGGTTTTGCCCTGCCTGGAATTGAACCCAGGTCCTCCTGTTTGTGAAGTGAAATTTTTAAATGAGTCTAGTGTCCTAGCCTCAGCCACCCATCCTAGCAACCTAATCATTAATTACCCACTGGGTATAGACTACTTCTTGGTGCCTACCTGACATTGCCCTTTGCAACTCTAAACTTATAACTTGTTGATCTACTGTCTTGGTGCATCCTAAGATAGTGTCCTGGTTTACTTTTTCAGTCTTATTTAAAATGGTATACCCCTCTATAAGGTCATCTCTTAGATGTCTTCTCTCAAGACTGAAGAGCCCTAGCTTGTCTAATCATTGCTCATAGCAGAATACTCTTAACAGTGAGGATCATACATGTTGCTCTCCTCTGTACTCCTTCTGTGACCTGGACAGAGCTCTTATGTCTTGATGGCCAGAACTGTATGCAGTATTCTAGGTGCAGCCTAACAAGAGTACCATACAGCCTGAGTATGACTTCTTGGGATCTAAACTCAACCAATTTAGCAAAATAACCCACCATCCTGTTTACCTTATTTATTGCTGCCTCACACTGTTTTAACATGGTGAGTCAATTAACACCACTGGATCTCTTTCAACAACAACAACACTTAACACCACTGGATCTCTTTCAACAACAACAACAAAATACATTTATGTAACGCCTTTCACGTCGGAAGGACGTCAGTTTTCCCCTTGGTGGAAATGGGGAACAGAGGGCTCTGCAGACATGTCATGGGTCAGTGACCAGCAGCTCTATGGATTAAAACAAAGTGCCCGGAGCTACTTGAGAGATATTAATACATGTACTAAAGATTTCATAAATTATGAGGAAAATGTTCAGTAGATTATATTTATGTGTACCTGAGGGGTGCATTTCTCCTTCCACACTCCTACACCTCAATCCAAATTTGTATCATTAAGTGTTGGCAAGTGCCGTAAGCATTTGAAATATCATTAATTGCCCCACTATAGGTTTGCAGGATGTATAATTCTTCATTGAGACATTAGATAAGAATATGTCGGTTCTGTGAGAATGCTGTCACAAATCAGCTGCTACAATCGCCTAAAAAATACACACTACAGTAAATCCTATGAAGTACGTTGAGACATTTTGACGATGTGATAAGGCATTATGTCAAATATAAAGATTATTACTGTTATTAATATTGAAGTACAGTTTGGTGGTGCATTGTCGTTTCTCCAAAAGCATGCATTAAGAATGCAAAAAGACAGCAACAAGAAAACAAGAAACTATGTTTAGCTTGTAACTTTATCGTACATATTCTCTGGCAGCCAAGGGGACTGCATGTCAGCAATTTACACAGATACTTTCTCAGTATTGCAGTCACTGACAATCTAATAGAATAGGAAGGACAAGAAGTAGAAAAAACAAAATTAAATGTTAAAGCAGTGACATTCCCCGAGAAAGGTTTGAACACTTTTTCTCCTCCCTAAAGCAGAAAGAGGAAACCTTCTTCTAAAATTGTGATCTTCTAACCTGGAAGTATCTTTGTTGTCAGAAACAGATGTATTTTGATGCACTTGGTCATTGAAATGTGCTGTTCAGTGTTTCTGTAATTTGTGCACATCATATGCACACAGTTTTCAAACACAAATTCTGTCAGATAGTTAAGCTTTGAATGAGTCATTATCTGCCTGTGGCTCAGTTCCCATCTGCCAACTTTATCCACATCTCTGCTGAAGGCTCTGACACAAGCTGGGGAACAATTCAGCAGGTGCTACCATTACTCTGTTACCTCTCCCTAGTGACTGTTCATGTGTGACCCCAGACATTCAGTCTTGGCAAGCGGTTTGACTGTCACTTCCATCACAACTAACCCCGTTCCTTGCACAGCACAGGAGGCGTCACTGATAGTGATAGGGAAGCCTGGCTGAATCCCCCCTCCCCAGCCTGGAGATGCTAAGGCCAATTATAACATCTCGACAGCAGTCAACTCAGCACACACTGGGGATTGAACCCTCTGGTCTGTGTGACTTTGTTGACTATATTTGTGGGTGCAACGCGGCAGCCAATTGCGCACAGCAGTGTCCCACAAACAGTCGTGGATTGAAGTGACCAAATTATTATTGTTTTTTTTTCTTGAAGGATTATTATCAGGCGTGTGGAGTAAGGAAACTTGCACAAGGTTTCACCCTGCCGGGAATCAAACCCAGGTCTCTTGCTTGTGAGGCGAGTGTTCTAACCATTGAGCTACAGGACTCCACAGTAACCAGGGCACATAATTTAAGATAATTGGCAAAAGAACCAGAGGGGAGTTTAGGAGTAATTGTTTTTTACACAAAAAGAGTTACGGTCTGGAATGCACTGCCTAAAAGGGTGGTGGAAACAGATACAATAACAACTTTCAAAAGGGAATTAGATAGAGACTTGAAAAGGAAAAATTTACAAGGATGTGGGGAAAGAGTGGGGGAGTGGGACTGATTGGGTAACTTTTCCAAACAGCCGACATAGGCACGATGAGCCGAATGGTCTCCTTCTGTGCTGTAATATTCTATGATTATTGAATCGTGTTCTGTTTTTTTTTCACATAGGCACTCACCAAAGGTGGTGAAAGCTGCTTCTCAGGTCCTGAACAGCATGTGGCAGTATCGCGATTTAAGAAGTCTCTACAAGAAGGTAAGGGATCTTAATCTCGCTAAGGAAACTTAGACTAGGAAAAAGATTCACTAGTGTATTCATTTCACAGTTCACTTCTATTTGCCCTGTCATACATTTTACACACATTATTCAATCAGTGGCAATCAAATAATTTTGCAGCAAAAGGCCATACCGTGCGCTTTCCTCTCCTGACTGCATTCGTTGTCACCGTAGAATATATTAAGACTGTATCAGCACATCTATTGTATTATTTTCAGTAAATATGTTGGTTTGGGTTTGATTTGTTAAAGGTTTATGAGCAATTAGTTTGAAGTTTATATTTAACCTATATTAGGAGCAGATCACTGTAATACTCTACAATGTCCTCCATTCACCCCCTCCCTCTCTCACCCCATTCCTCTCCCCCCCACCCCCCCCATGCCCCTTGGCTGCCCACAAAACATGCTGGAATTGCAAACCATGGTCCTTTAATCTGCACTTGTTTAGCTTGTGTTCTACACACCTTTGCTGACTTACAATTTTGCTAATTCAAATGGCTTGTCCAGTTCTAGTCAGAGTTGGGATAGTTATTGAAATATAATGGTACTTCAGCCATTTCCTTCAATTGCCTGTTATCGAGAGACCTGAGTTCAATTCCAGGCAGGGCGAAACCTTGGGCAAGTTTCCTTACACCACACACCTAATAATAATCCCTCCAAAACAAAAAACAATAATAAATTTGGTCATTTTCAATCTACGACTGATTGTGGGACATTGCTGTGCGCAATTGGCTGCCGCGTTCGCCCACAAATATACAGTCAATTCACTTTACAGTATATTCTGTGAAGCGCTTTTGGATGTCTAGAAGACGTGAAAAGGGCTATATCAAATGCAAGGATTATTATTAATATTATCATCATAGATAAGGCTGGACATTTTACTTCTAAGTATTTCCCCGTGTTCCTTTTCAATTTTTGCTTTTTTTCAATAATTCCTTTCCCCGAACAGTTGTTTAATGATATTGTATTATGCACGTAGTAAGTAGTATGAGTGAGCAAGCTTTATTAAAACAAAGGTCGTACCTCTGTGAAGCATGGAGACCAAATGCTCCCTTTCCTGCAGTTCAGGCAGGTGTCTGAAGCAGGACATCCAGAATTCTTACAAATGAGCACAGCCTGAAATGTGAGCAGCTTTGTTGGAGAACGTATACCTTGACATATGACATGTGGCATTTTCGTTAGACTGCAAACATTATTAAACTAGAAGAGAACATTGTGCTGCACAGTATTGCAAAGAACATGTTTGAAGGGAAATATATTCATCTGAATTACCACTTGCTGCAAAAGCTTATATATAGAGTTATTTAATAATAGAAATCATATTTGAACTTGATATAATAATCATCCTTGCATTTGACAGTGCATTATATTGAAATGTCTCAAAATCCTTTATGCAATGAGTGAAGATGATAGAATTTTACAGCACACCATACCTGTTTTCTGAGTATATTTAATAGTGACTTGTTTGCAGACCATCAGAATACAGCAACAAATCTCTATCAGCTTCAATCCACAAGCAGATACCCAATGAGTATTATGAGTGACCAATTCATCTGCTTTGAGAAATTTAAATGAGGAAAATTTACTCGTCAGCACACCAGAAGAACTCAGTGGGAGCACTCTTCGCCTCTTAAGCCTGAATTGTCGTGGGTTCAACTTCCACATGGGGTTTTGAACTCATGTAGACTAAGCTGACACTCCAATGAAGTGCTTTGGGGGTGTTGCAGAGTGGACCTGAACAGTAAGAAGAGATCTCTGTTTTACCTCATTCACAGAGCAGTACCAATAACAATGCAGCATTCCCTCACTGGAATAACCGGTCAAGGATGGGTCTAGATCATAGAACCAACTGACCCAGTAAGAGTGCCACTCACTGAGCCAAACTAATACACTTTCAACACTTCAACAGTAACAACTTGCACCTATATAGCGCCCTCCACGCAGGGTAGCAACTTAGAGCACTTAACACTTACTGGGTGATGGTCATCCCTTGGTTAATGCATATTTTATAATAATACTGTACTTATGTTTGGTATATAGCACTTTTTAGGTCAGGAAGATCTCCCAAAGCACTTGCGGGAATAATGAAAAATGCAGTGACTGCGTACTTTGTGGCCAAAATATAATGGTATTTTGGTTTAATATTACGATTGGAATTCTTGCTGCTTGTCCAACTAGGAACACTCTACTTGTTAACAAGAGGCAAGTGGGAAGAAGCCCTGCCCACAGGTTTCAAAGCACCTTAGAGAGGAATGAGAGTTAAGAATATCAAAATCAGACTGAGAGTTCCATATGTGTATGTCACCTACACATGGAAATGTGCATGTCTAGAATTGAATGAGCCTTTTCTCCCCAGAGGCATCCACCCATACACCCTTCTTAACCTATTCCAAAGAGTATTAGGTGCAGGTTGGTGAGAGCCAAGGCCTGGGACTCCAGAATGTGTATTACTGCTGGAGTTTAACTGCTAAAACCACGATGAGCTGCACTGGGAGCATCAGTTAGCATTCACTCCCAAACCAAACCAGTCGATAATTAAAGACCGTAATGTTCGACAATTTGATAATTATCATATCATAGATCACATTTTGCACCTTCAGGTTTCAGTGTTGGAGATGTGAAGATGGATGAATATTTTGGTGCTCATTTGTTGGATTCAGGAACGAGTCCTTGATTACATGCAGCCTTGCCGCAGAATCAAACGCAGCCGCCAAGACAGCCCCAGTGGGGGAAGCCTTGCCCATTAGCATGAAAAAGACAGCAGTGCTATGCGCTATCAGCTCCAGCAAAATCTCTCAGAGGCAAAAGAGCAATTTAGCTTTAAAGTCTTTCAAAGATTGTTTTCCCTAGACTGACCTTTTAGTTTTTCCTTTTATTACTGAACTTTGTGTTATAATTCCAAGACTTTCTCACTTTTGGATTCTCTTTGTATTAAGCATAGAGGAAGATGCACAGTCTCGCGATTTCTATTTACAAAGTTTGCCTGACCTCATTAGGTTACTGAAGCAGATCATTCAATATCCAAGTAATGTGGGAACATGTGACTTTACTTAAAACAGTGGTTCCTGCTAGGACTTTTCTTTGGAGATAGGATGAAAGCATCTCATCAATGAGTTGACGCTTAGCGGTGCAGAGCACCAGATGCTGATTTGGTATAATCCGAAGATCATGATGTATTTAAGCAGGGAAGGCACAAATGTTTCATAGAATATGGATGGGTAATAGTTTACTAGATGTGTTTGCAAATGTTATCAATTCCCACTTCTGTGGTTACAGTTGACTGTATCAACCCTGTTTTTCGCTTTTTTTAAGTGCAATTTGCTCTCTTTGATAGGAGAATTTTTTTGCTGTGGTTTAGAACCATGGAAATCATATAAATAATCCTTGCATTTTGATATAGCGCCTTTCATTTTGGGAGGGCATCCCAAAGCACTAAGGAGTCCATTCAGCACCTGGTTTGCGCAGAGTTGAATAACCTCCTCCTGTCCTACCTGTGCCCAGTGAGTATATTATCAATTACAATTCCTGACATCCTGTGCACACGTGACCAGAAATGCAAAGTACATGTCCAGCAGGAGTCGTGCCTTTGGTGGCCTTTGGGTCTCAGCAAGGAATCCTGGGTCGCGAATATGAGTGAAGGCCGCTATATAAATGCAAGTTGTTGTTGTTGAGTCTCGCCTACCCTTCTCGTCACCTTATCCTTCAATCTTTCTTTTTAACTCATTTATGTTGCTCTACTTCTCTTACCTTCCCTGGTGACTTGTTCTGCAAGTCCATCAGCCGTTAAGCAAAAGATTTTGCCTGACTTTGCTACTTTGATTAAAAAAAACTCTCAGGGGATTACAGAGAACATGGATTTCACGCTGCTTTGCTATTAATGCAAAGCATTTCCCCCGACAACAATGAAGGAATTTCACAGTCTTGAGTCATAGTTTGCTTGAAGAGAAAAAGTCACTGGTAAAATTTCTCTCAATTTATCAGAACAGAGTATTGACTGACCACCATATCGCCTGAAAATAAGCCACAAGCATTACTTTCATTACAAAGTGAGTAGCTATTAATTTTGTCAGGCAGACACCTTCCAGAATAATTGGAAGAAATGACTGCATGCTACAAGCACTGCTTAATGATTATGGGTCTTTTATATTCTTCTAAGGATCTGGTCTAATGGTCTGCTCTGCAGGATGTCTTTAGAATTGCTTTCATTGGCCAGATTTATCTTTTACAGGAACCTATGCTTCTTGGAATTTAATTGTTTTTCCTCTCCCATTCTTGCTTAGTAGTTCACCTACAAAATACTACATTACCCACATTACTTTACAATATATCCTGTGAAGCACTTTGAGATAACTCGACAACGTGATAAGCTGCTGTATTAAATTTGCAAGGATTATTATTGATTTTTATAGTTTTGTCTATTTCCCCTCTTCCCCAAATAGACAGTTTCTCCTGAGCCCATGTGCCAACTTTCAGTGGATTTGACAAGTAGATGCCAATGATACTCTTTCTGGTGGGCATATGACAGGAGCATGGACATTTTCTTCACAGAAAGAGAGCCGTCAGTCTATCATGATTGTGCCACCACAGCTGTTGTTCTAATTTGCTTCCTTTTTATTAATTCTACTTTCCAACTATTTCTTAATATTCCTAATGATTTTACCACTTAGTAATAATAATAATAATAATAATCCTTGCAATTGATGTAGCATCTTATCACGCCGTTGAGATGTCTCAAAGCACTTCACGGAATATACTGTAAAGTTGATTGATTGTGCATTTTGGGGTAAAAACATGGCAACCAATTGCACACAGCAATGTCCCACAACCAATGGTGGATTGAGTGACAAAATTATTTTTTTTTTAAAAAAGGAATTATTACCCCCAGAAAAGCAATTCGCCAATCGACTGATGACTACTAGACAGATGTCTCAAAGCGCTTCAAAGGATATACTGTAAAGTGGATCGACTGTATTTTGTGGA